TCATGTCTTATATAATCATATAGTACATGTTCATATGCTAACCCTTCATTACGTCCGTCATTTTCGTGTTCTCTATCTCCATACCTGCATTTGATTTTCCACTTTCGCATTGTGCCAGTCATGGAGTGTTCTTTCCAAAAGCAACTGCAAACGAGCCGGTTCCACATTCTCTTTGAGTTTGAAGGAAGCCATTACGTAGCACCAGTTAAGAGCAACGATTTTTATAATCCCAAAATACGGGTAAAATGGAACGTTTGAAAAGTTCGAGAGCTTTTGTATGTAAAGAAATAGTAGCAAATTTTCCTCCACAAGAGGATTTTAAAATAGACTAAGTGCCGTAAAGGATTAACAAAGAACACGGACATCGACATCATGCGGCATCCACGCGATTCACGGCTCCCGTATCTGTCCAGGCTATCGGGGTTCTGTTCACTAGTGCCCTTTAAACTATGATTAGTGATAGGAACCCTGTTATTTAAAGCTCTAGTTTAAAAACGGTCATTCCAATCACATATTTGTAGAAGGATAGAAAAATTACCAGACGAGAGCAGCTATGGTAGACGTCACGTTACTTTCTATCTGATTGCAGTATAAATGTTGGATTTGTGACAAATACAAAATATTCGATGCTATCAACTGCTGACATATACGCGAAAGTATTCTTCTATATACAATAAATTTTGAAAAAAGAAAAGAGCTAGTGAGTATTACAGGGCATTGAAAGAAATCTGGAGTATAAACTTCCCGAGGACTTGAAAGGAAGCTGCAGTAATGACATTGCATTGCAAACTTTACTGTATCCAGCTTCAGAATTTAAGGTGAATTGAGCTAATGTTTTTGAAAGATAAAAATTGAAGACGATTGCAGGCATCCTTTCAAAAACTTCACTGTCTTTTAAGAAAACTGAGGAGAACCGGTGAGCATTCCAAACGGTAGTATTCCTCCAACAAAAGCAATGTTAGTTTGGTTGGCGGATCTGTAGCTCCCAGCCCGACTTTGATGGCATTTGGTACACACATACGAATTTGCGCAATGAACCCAGGAATTTTCAGAAAAAGTATAAAAATTGGGGGAAGTTAAATTGTAAACCAACAATAGAAAACAATAAGCAACATATTTCGCAGTATTAATAAGCAAAAAGAACTTTCTGAGATATTGATTTTCCATGGTAATCGGCCCCAAAACTTCCTGAACTCAGAAAAGCGACACTAAGATATCCGGTACCTAATAGTTTTTTTGCACCGTATCTATAGACCTGATATGCATTGGTTTACATTATGCGGACATATGGAAACTTACAAAACGTATAACTCAGTTCACTGGAAAAACCTGCAAGTCATATGCCGCGACTGCCTTTTCCTCCCGCTTTTAGGTGGTAAAATGTCACAAAAAGTCCCGAACTGCTGTTGTGGTGGGATTTACTTACTTTCCTTATTCGAAAATGAATTTGTTGCAACGAACTATTTGTCGGACACAACTTAATTTTTTAGTCTTCAAAACATTAGCTCAATTCACCTTAAATTCTGAAGCTGGATACAGTAAAGTTTGCAATGCAATGTCATTACTGCAGCTTCCTTTCAAGTCCTCGGGAAGTTTATACTCCAGATTTCTTTCAATGCCCTGTAATACTCACTAGCTCTTTTCTTTTTTCAAAATTTATTGTATATAGAAGAATACTTTCGCGTATAATGCAGCAGGTGTAGCATGAGTAATTCTTGTATTTGTCACAAATCCAACATTTATACCTGCAATCAGATAGAAAGTAACGTGACGTCTACCATAGCTGCTCTCGTCTGGTAATTTTTCTATCCTTCTACAAATATGTGATTGGAATGACCGTTTTTAAACTAGAGCTTTAAATAACAGGGTTCCTATCACTAATCATAGTTTAAAGGGCACTAGTGAACAGAACCCCGATAGCCTGGACAGATACGACGTAAGCAAACCAGCCCTTTTGGCGCTTCGGCTGGGACCGTATGCTGAATGTTGGGGAGGGGATGGAGTCCCCGACGGTGGACGGACCACTTCAACTCGGTCCTTAGAACCGCCACAATTTGGTGCTTACCTCAGAACTAAGCCTTAAAGAGAGGACGGGTCCGTCCCCTCTCCAAGGCTTAGTCCTGGGGTGAGCAAACCAGCCCTTCTGGCGGAGCTGCTGGACCAGCTGCACCACTTGCGTCAGTACTCTCCTATCGTACCAACCGAGTTGAAGTAAACCGTCGACCGTTGGGGACCCCATCCCCTCCCCAACATTCAGCATACGGTCCCAGCCGAAACGCCAAAAGGGCTGGTTTGCTTACGTCAGACAGATACGGGGGCCGCCTGAATGACGCTGGATTGCGGCATGAGCTGCTTCCGATGCTTGCCCGTGGGGTTCTTTACCTGTTAATCCTTTCTGTTCGACGCGTTTGGACACTGGCGGTCGCTTGTAGATAGGTCAAAAAGCTTGACCAATTCTACCCACGATTCACAAGCAGAATCGCAAATGCAGGGCTTGAATACTTTGTCGCCTTTATTAGTACTGATGTATCGAAAGCATTATTGTATCTAAGACTTCCAAAAGGTTTTATCATTTGGAATACGAAGCCTAGTCCATAAAGAAACAGTGATCCCCTCAACTCGCGGTCCCACGGCCCAAGAAGGGAAGGATTTGTGGATGCGTTCTGGATTACTATTGTGAACCTCGGTTCATACTTTCGATTCTTTACATAAGTGACGCAAGCTCAGCTAATATTCCACCCACCACATAACTTTTTTCCCTGCCACTAATATACTACTGTTGGGAGGACAAATTTTACCTATGTTTCAACGTTTCTTGAAAATTTAGACCTATCTAGAAAATTTTCCTCCATGTTTCCGCGAGACCTCATCGATCTTCACCCTATCCAACGTCACTTCCAACTCTACCATGTAATTACAACACATATGCCACTGTCTTAAGTCTTGGCTTATACTCGTTGCTGCTGCCATTTTCCGGTGTCCCGAATGGTCGCCGACTGGGGCGTGTCCAGTGTAACCGCAAGAGAGAGTTATGGCTTTGCTTATGTGCAGGCGATATGGGGATCTGGTCAACCTATTATAGGACCTTACTTTTCCATTATGCCTCCTCACAAGGTGCTGTCGAAGCAGAACTGCTTGGGTAGGACTCTTTGTCTTCAGCAACAGCAGCGAAAGAAAACGATTTCATAATAGTTCAGCTTTTCCGACCCATACCCCAAGCGACTCAAATGTAATTGTATTATCTTTTCTGAGTATGAGGCAAACTTCACCGCTCCCACGTAGAGTCTCTCCAATCGTTTGCTGACATTTGCGTGTTTGTAGCTCTGTAAAGAAAGAGATCGCCGAAAAAAAAACGAGAGAATGGACAATGAATGGCAAAGGCAAAGGCTCTTACTAGTCTTGGCTAGTGAAAATGCGTAATTGAAAGAAGAATATGAGGAAGAAAGAACTCAGTAGGTCGTAAGGTTCAGACAATGCTTTCTACGAGAAAACCTTATTAGCGCAATGGAATTTGATCGATGTTCTGTTTCATGGGGTTGTCGCGCTTAATTTACGAAAATAATCCCCTCAAGCACCACTGCACGAAAAGTGCTCTAAAGGCAACCCCCCCCCCCTCTCTCAGCCGCCTAACTTACACAATAACACCTTATAAAGCCCGTCACCGCTAACCAACCTAAACCACCTCTATCGGTGCGCAGTCCGGCTGCTTCTGTTTGTGTCGAAATTCTGTAGATTGCTAACTGAAATGTGTGTGTATTGTGTCGTCCCGCCCTGAAAAACATTGAGCCTCTAACGCGCAAGTGAGGCCACAAATTTTCCCGATACTCCAATCAGTGCCGTCAGTGAAGAGAGCGAAAAAATTAAGCCCGAAAATGGATCGGCAGGTTCTTTATTTTCTCTATTTGGACACTTCTGTCGTGAGGTTTTCATCGAAATGTAAAAACACTCAATCAACACGGTCTCTCCTTATAAATACCCGTTGACGAAGACGCTCAAACTTCTACATCAAAATAACTCACAAGTTGTGGCAGATTCTCACCAATAGAATACGGCACGCGAATTCTGTCGCACAGATATCATCATTTGCCTCCAAAAGTGCAGAAACGCGGACTAATGCGCTTGCTGCCAAACTTCGCCTAATTATAGGGCTAATATACACGACGCCCTCCCCGTCGCGAAATAGTTTCAGACGAGACGGTTGTCTCTGAATCTGGAGGCACATATTTCAAGCAAATTGCGCCTTAAATTCGTATTGAGCAGGAACTCGTCCACAACCAAACTACCATTTTTATGCGTCTAACCTTACCGTCGGCCCTCAAAATCAAACTAAACTTGAGAAGAGTGAGGCATTGATCTCGCAAACTTTGAATCCGTTCTCTGGATGTTCACTGATCGCACAGGCACTGGCTTAATTTAGATTGGTGAATATTTTGGCCTCAGTAGCAGCCTGATTCTCCGTCTTTGACTGTTTTCCGTAACGGCTATCCATGAGCTTACCCTCGTTCCTTTCTTTCGGGTTTTCAAAAATGCTACCTTCCATAAGCGAACTCATGATTCGAAAGCGAGCCTTCCCCATCAGCATCTTAGATTTCACAACGATCCGGTTATACCACCCATTTTTGTCCATGGTGCTGAAAGTTGGGAATGGACGGAGATGGGCGAAAGGCTCGAGAGGTATCGTAAACTGAGAGAGACCACACAATAGGACAACGGTCGCACCATTTGTATGTTTGAGCGTTCATTCCACATGGTGCTGCAGTGGCAGCTGGAGGGCAGTGGAGAGAGGAAGGGAGGATGAGGAAGGGAAGCGAAAAATCTACCGTCATATCATGATTGTGTCCCTTCTACTGTATGAAACACCATTGTGTTGCATACGCGTCACTTCCAGGAGGTGTTGGTGTCACAGGAGGAAGGGACCATAGCGGAGGATAGAAAGCTTGCGCAGGAAAGGAAGGTCCCGGCGGTTGACGGGGGACTAATCTGGTGATTATATAAGACATGAGAAAAGCTTTTAATGGGCGCACATCTCGAGCAGGACAGGAGCGGTTAAAGTTCTTGAAAGGGGTGTGAAAAACCATTTGCACAAGATGGAGAAGGAAAATGTATTTCTCTTAATGTTTCATCGAACTCACAAAGTGAGGGCACGATTCACGGCACTGTACATGAACGCGCATCCTCAGATCCGTCATGCATCAGGGAATGATAGAAGAGAAGAAGAGCTTAGGTGATCATTAAAGACACCGCGTTAAATGCTGCTTGACAAATTGCTCTCATTTTTTTGCTAATACTATCTGAAAGGTCGATCTTTTGGTTATGCTTAAAGTGGGAACCGTGCTGTGGTTTGAGTTAGTTCAAAAATGTAAAATCGCGATGACACCAATCATTCATGTATTGGAAATAGTATACGAACTTCTAATTCTGACGTTCTGGAAGAGCATTTATTTCAATAAGCCCTGAATCGAGGCAATTTTTTACAAAGAAGAGTGCGCAAACCAGCGTGACATATTGGTCATTCACTATACTATTGAAGGAACGGATAGCAATCAAAATTAATGAAAAATAGTCTTTCCGAAAATGAAACAAGTAATGCGAAAAGGCCGTCAGTAAGGCAAAAGCAAAAAGACGATGGCAAGAACTAAAAGTGATCAACTCCTGTTCTTGTGAGTGGGCTGTGTATCGTAGAGAGGAATGTGGATACGCGAGAGAGCACATCGTATGGTAGCGAAGACACTGAGTTAGCTGCAAAGCAGTTTTAAAGGCGGCGGTCGCAGCGGCTAAAAGTACCCTTGACGCTATTTTCGCGCACTGAGCTTACGATTCCTGTGCTTGTTGATCTTGCTACTTCACCCAGAACTGCTTCAAAGATCAAATCGTGACCTATGCCCTCAAGTAAGAAAAAAAGAAAAAATCTGACCGTCAGCTACAGCTCTGTCTCCTATTCCATCACTTATAACTTCGCTTGATACATTGGTACATTTTTTATTCAAACCTGGCATCATACCAAGCGTTTCCTGATCCACCTAAACTGGATAGTTCAGCATCCTTAACTGTTACCTCGATTTTGCTGTCATTTATCACACTTGCTTTTTCATAACTATAAGCGACGTGGTCTACAGAAAAGTTGTGGACGCCTATACTTGGCAAAATTTCTCGCTAGCACGCGAAATGTTCAGTTTTCTGTCATTCTTTCCACTTCTTTGTGGGGTCATTAGGGAATGAAAGAATAACAGGCGACAAAATTCTGTGAATAGCACAACTTTATAGCTAGTACATGATTCGCTGTCAAAACAATGCTTCAAAGCGGCGTGAAGGAAATAACCGTTCGAGGCGAAAAGCCTTTTCTGAGTTCAGCAGAACCACCGCAAAATAATTTCTCACTCCTCACATAGAGATTGTTGCAATTTTTAAAAACGTGCTCATTTCAAGAAAATTCATCTTCAAAATAAGTGGTAATCCTCGAAAGTGAGAAACACGAAAAGAATAAAAAAAACAACAACCATAGCCTTACTTGGACAAATTCCAGTAAATGCCTTTTGAAGCATTGCTCTGAGGAACAAGTTATAATTTCGACAAGCATTAACGAGAGCTGCTCCACTTGTACACAGCCCTCCTTTTGTTCCTCAAGACATCTTTTTTAAAACCAAAATCACTATCAAAGTTACAGGTCTTTTTCCGTTTCGAAAAGTTACAGGTCTTTTTCCGTTTCGAACGCTGGAAAACGCGCCTTGAGAGACAGCGCAGAAGCACGTTTCCCGCTGCCGCCACGCTCGCTCCTTACCTCTCCAACGTGGCCAAAATGGCCAGACCGCAAAACGTAAGGAAACTGCCGCAATTGGAGAATAGCAGATGAATGGTTTTGTTGGACAGGTCGTGTAGTACAGCATCACTGCTGAACCAGAACTGGTATCGGCAGGATGCCTCGAATTGCAAAGGAACTTTGTAGCAACCGCAAGCCCGATGAATAGATCTCTTCACAAGAAAAAATCCGTTTCCTCATGTTATCAAACGGAGAAAGTCACTTGAATTACTTCATACACCAAGGGAATGAATGTATGATAAGATAATAAATGATAAGAAAGGACGATAGATGACAGAGGTGATGCTCCTCTGACATGATTTAGCTATAACTGAAAGAGTTCACTCACTTTTCGCCCAGTATACAAAGCTGTTGCTGACGCTGCTGAATCCGTGACGTGCTTGTTGTACGAGTATGTCTGAAGTTAATCCATTTATAGTAAATGCTGTACTGCACCGATTTTGTGCAAGTTTTTTACGATGTCGAAACGCTACTCCACACAAATATGTACAGAAATAGGCCCCTAACGGAGGGAGGGGGCTCTCCGTGTGTGGGGCTCTCTGTCATACGATTTGTCCTCGATAGGATTTTCTCTTGTTTGTGCTCCCATTTATTTGCGATTTGTGCACCTGGTGGGGAGGATGCATATTTATGAAGTGATTACTTGTTGTAGGGGAGAGTGGTATCGTGAGCAAAGCGCAGGCCGTGCTTCTTACTGCTTTTTGTTACCATATTTACACTACATATTTTTACACTCCGTGTGATATCGATACATACAAATATTTTGTTGACTACCTTAGCAAGACCACTGTGTGTGAATGTCTCGAAGAAGAGTGGAGCTTGTACGTAAGGATTACGCTCTTGCTGATTTTTGTCGATCCGGTAACTTGTCACTGTAGCAATTCCCATTCCATCACCAACGAACAAAATGACGTTTTTCGGACGTCTACCTTGAAAACAGTATTTTTCTGTGATGGATCAATTGCAGTTGGATATTAATAGAGCCCTTAACAGCAGCAATTACAATAGCAGGGCTAGAGCGCGAAGAGACGCATAAGGGCAAGCCTGGGATAAAACTGGTGTATGAGAGCGATTCAAGTGATGACTGAGCTGCGAAGTGGACTGAACAAGGAAAAAAACCAAAAGAGATCACCGGGATCGCCAAAATTATGGCCTCAATATTTGGCAGGTCAGAAGTAGGACGAGACAGGGCGATCAAAAAGAAAAAACACGCGAGAGATCACGCGATTCGAGAGGGCACGCCGATCCATACATCAATCGCGATGGGTGAGGTGCATTGCAACGGAATGGCGGGGGAAGGGCGGAGCAGTCCCGTAAGAATTAGCGTCTATGAGGCGACGACGTTGGCGTGATCTATGTAAGTAGGGACCATACAATTTCCCATGCGCTATCCTTCCCACTGGTCGGGCTTCCTGGGGTTTGCCTTGCCACATCCGTTACTGAACGTTGAGGCCTTAATTTTGGCGTTACCAAAGATCTCTCTTGCTCTCCTTTCACTTTCAGGTCCTTCTGCAGCTCTGTCGTCACAACGAAGCGCTTCTATAATCGGACTTATCCCGGGGTTTGCAAGTGAGCAAGTGCATGGAAACGAGGATGTAAACTTGAAGAACATTCAGAGCTGGAATCTTACTTAATCTTATATATAAGTGTTCGACTGTAGGCCCCGAAGTTCAGAAACCAATAAAATTTTTCAAAAGCGTGCGACAAGACAAGACAAGTCGTTTGACAGTGACTGATACCTCGACTGAATCGAGCACTGTATGAATGAAACAGCTGAATAAATTTGCCTACCTCTGAGCAAATTTTTATTAGCCTTCACCTTTCGGTTTATATTATCTTGAGCGATCCTATTAAGGAAATCTACGTTCGCCAATGGGTCTGCAAGAAACAAGTTTGATTGAGTCAGTCCTGGCGCCATTCTGTTGGGGTAAGAAAGAAGGAGCGAGAGAAGAGCGACAGTAGTTAACGAAGGAGTGCTGGCGACGCAGCCTCCTAATTATATGCGTAACCATTACATCTTAAGTGAGATCCATGCACGCATTTTGGTTTTTCAAGATCTTTGGAGTAAAAAAGGTGAAGAATCAGCAGTCCTAGTAAGCGTGTTCCAGTGGATTTATCGGGCTTATATAACCTTACGGAGACTGACTGCCGTGCATGCATGGAAGATGGGAGTCAATTTCCAATCATCAACTATACTCGATATCCGAGGGTTGGGGTAGGCGTGTCACCGCAAGTGACGTGCACTTGATGGAAGCTATATATGTGGGTAAGCTGTTTCCAATACATCTCGCTGGATATCAGCAAAGAATGCTGGCAACAGCTTATCCAGGCAACTTC